ACCATGCCCAGCAAATTTTTTGTATTTTTAGTAGAGACGGGGTTTCACCATGTTGACCAGGATGGTCTCGATCTCTTGACCTCGTGATCCACCCGCCTCGGCCTCCCAAAGTGCTAGGATTACAGGCTTGAGCCACCGCGCCTGGCCTTGAGGAAGGTTTTTAAATATGCTTCTTTGAGGAAGCTTTCCTAAATAGACCCTTCATAAGACATCATTATTTAGCTCTGAAGCAGCTCAGCTTATATATTATACAAATAACCTCAAACCTAGTAAGACAGATGGTGCCTCAAAGGAAAAAGCTAGGAAAAATGAGGAGCGAGATAATTACAGGCAATAATGGCTATGCAGGCGCTTTGTGGACTATAAACATGGAAGTTAACATTTCATAAAAATTAAGTTAGTGGAACCTTAAGGCACTGTTTCGCAGCTGTGAGTGCCATTACATAGAATAGTGGCTGTTTTCTTGTTAACAGAAAGAGGATGCCTAAAATACTGCCATTGGAATGGTCATTGCCAAGAAATAGGAAATGTGACTGAATATCATGCATGCATTTATTGGTTCCTTTATTTCATATCATTTGCTGCATGCCTGCTGCTGTACATTTCTGTGGGGATAAATATTAAAAGGTGTTATAACATCATGAATAAATATCCATGGAGATATGATTAAACAGAGAGACAACTTAAAAAGCCATACACTCAGTATCAAGAGAGGCAGAACTAAAGAATGACAGAAACACTAAAGAAGGGACTTGGGTGTGAGGAAGGGCTATAGGTCAAGGTCAGCTTTATGAGCAGGTGTGATGGATGAGTGATCTCCGGGGAATGTGTCTACTGTCAGAGGCATGCTCAGCACATGCTCAGACACTCACACATGAAACCGGCAGTGTGGTATGAAGAGACGACAGTGCAAACTCGGGTGTGACAAGAGCTGAGGCTAATGGCTAAGGGCAAAATGATGGACTTTATCCCTTAGGCTGTGAGGAACAATTAAACTATATTGATTTAAGGATTTCATTGCAGGAGAAGTGTCAGATGTGCATTTTTGAAAGATCATTGTGATCTTTAGAAAGATCCCTGGGGAGAATTGGCTAAAGGAGACCTGAACATGAGAAAAATTCTTTAAAAAGCCGTGAAGGCCTGAGTGGTCTCTTCCTCACATGGCTTCTGTGACGAAAACAGCCAAGTAAGTGGCCTGAGCTCAGAGGGCCTCTGGAAAGATGCTTTCACCATGTTATGGTTAGCCCTTTAAAGTCTTTACAGCTAATGGTCAATCGCTACATGTGATGCTAATTGTTTTTCTTTCTTTCTTTTTTTTTGAGACAGTCTCACTCTGTTGCCCAGGCTCAAGTGCAGTGGTGTGATCTTGGCTCACTGCAACCTCTGCCTCCTGGGTTCAAGTGATTCTCCTGGCAGCTGACACCATGCCCAGTTAATTTTTGTATTTTTAGTAGAGATGGGGTTTCACCATGTTGGTCAGGCTGGTCTCAGACTCCTGACCTCAAGTGATCCATCTGCCTCGATCTCCCAAAGTGCTAGGATTATAGGTGTGAGCCACCACGCCTAGCCAACATTGTTTTGCAAAATGATTCTAAATGCAGAGGTAATTTTGTTTCCATCTCTCCAATTACCACATAGATAATGATGAGATTTGGGTGCACTCCAAGAACAATTTGAAATTAGAAAAACAAACAAATATAGGAAACGCTCAAATGTGTCAGTCAAATCCTAAGTAAAAACAAAAGCAAATCAAGAATGAAAATTCTAAATCTGAGATTAGATCACAGAGGAAACAAAAGGCATAGGTTTGGAGTAGAAGGTCTAAGAGCTGAAATGGAAATGTGGTCTCAGGCCCTGAACATAAGTTATATTTGCAGGTGCAAAATGTGTGACCTCTACATGATTCACGTGGGTGACACTGGCCAACTTGGGCCAGTGGTTGGTCAATGTGCTAGAAAGGCTAAGTCAGGAACCTGCTGACATCACCTATGTCCAAAATCACCAGAATTTATATGCAACACATTTTGTGAATATCACAATTTTTCTCTATATTCTGCATTTTATTTTATAAGCAAATAAAATCATCTAATTGTCACTTCAATAAATATAATATGGGACCAATATGGAGCTGTTTATTAAAAATAATTGTATCAACACATAATAGCTGATTATTACCATGCTGGTGTCTTCAGTTTAAAAAGCTTTTCAGATGCTTGAATGACTCTCATGTGGTCGTTAGCTAGGACACTGGCCCCCAGAAAAAATCCAACTTCCCAGTAGCTCTGGAGTTTTTCCAGGTTTCCCTTTTTACCAAGAAGGCTACTTAGCTTCACCCCTAGAATACAAACAGGAAGTAGAATGTTACAAACGCACCCCAGACAGGTAGAACCAGGTTTTCACTAAAAAGCAAAATTAAGCTTTCATTCCTCTTTTTGGATTAAAATAGCTTTGTTAAGTTGCTGATTATTAAGGTGGTTTCAGTTCACTGTGAAAAGAAATTAGTCATAAAAAGGAATGAAACACTGATACATACAATTACACCATAGATGAACTTGGAAAACATGCTAAATTAAATAAGCCAGACACAAAAAAGCAAAGGTTGAGTGCTTCCACTTACAGGAGGTACCTAGCACAGACACATTCTTAAATGTGGAAAGTAGAATAGAGGTTACCAGGGACTGGGGTGAGAAGGGAATGGGGAGTAATTGTTTAATGGGTACAGAGTTCTAATTTGAAAAGATAAAAAGGTTCTAGAGATGCACAGTGGTGTTGCCTGCATAACAATGTAAATGTACTTAACGCCACTGAGGAGTGCACTTCAAATGGAAATTTTTGTTATGTGCATTTTATCACAATAAAAAATTTGGTAAAAAAAACAATAATAAGTCAGACTAACCAGAAAGGTCCACAGAAAAAAGTGAAAATTACCCTTTAATTTGAAAATCAAGGATAACTGTTATGGTCACTTTAATGTACATAAATCTAGAACTTTTATATATGTCAGTATATGCATAAATTAAAAGGTGATAATACAAACATTGTTGTGTAACCTCCTTCTTTGTCTTTTTATAACATGGATTCTTAAATAAATTAAGGGAAATCTCATGTTTTTTATGCTGAAATTCTAACAGTTGAAGTATAAATATATACAGTATATATATTTTGCAAGAGTAAAATGCTATAATAATTAATAACTTTAGACACAAAAAGTTATATACATAAAATGTTAAAGAAATAAGGAAACATGCTGGATGCGGTGGCTCACACCTGTAATCCCAGCATCTTGGGAGGCTGAGGTGGGAGGATTGCTTGAGCCCAGGAGTTCTAGATTGGCCTGGGCAACACAGCAAGATCCTGTCTCATAAAAAAAAAAAAAAAAAAAAAAAAAAATAAAAAAATAAAAAAAAAAAAAAAAAAATTAAAAAAATTTTAAAAAAACTAGAAAAAAAGGAAATAGACTGACAGATAATACTATCTTATTATGTGACTGTCTTAAAAGTCTTGAAATCAGGTAATATAAATACTCCAACTTTGTTCTTTTTCAACACTGTTTTGGCACTTCTGTGTTCTTAATGTTTCATTATATAGTTTCAAATATATAAAGTAGATTTTCAAGTATCTACTGTGTCTCGTGTTATTTTTGCATTTCATATTTGTTTGATTAAAAAGAATATATCCTTGTAGTATTGTTTGGTGCCACTAATATCCATCACATTAAATTGTTGGTAAAATCACCTGAGATTAAGAATGAGGCAAAAAGGTAGGATGTATCATTTCAATATCATATGGGGGCATCAGGCCCCTCAAGGACCGTCTCGGGAAAGTTCATCTCATTACATACCACTTATTAAGGATCCCAGATCTACAGACATTTACTTGTTAACTGGCAGATTTTTGTACAGTAGAGACGTAAACCTCTGTAGAGTGGAATGGATAAATTCTTAAGATTTATGGCCTGTTGGACACAAACCAGCTTTTTTTTTTTCTTCAAACTCAGAAATCTTAACATTTCTTTGTTGTCTATGAATATAAATATTTTTTGAACTGGACATTCCATCTTGCTAGTTTCCACATTAGTTGAGTTAAATAAAATAGTTTTATGTGTCTCTTTTAATATTTGCTGAGAGTCATGATTTTATATGTGCCATTTTATATTTGCTGATAATCATGATTTTACCTTTTTGAAAATTATATATGAATGAAACAAAATAACCTTTAAAATTTTTCATGTTACTTTTTATCATATAATTCCACTCAAACCACAAGTGTTTCAGGAAAATGTCCATTTGGGAATTATTCACATTTAGCGACGGCAAATTAAAGAGAGAGCCGCTTTGCCACTGCTGCTTCACAAGATGAAAATAAATTACATATGCATAGTTCAACATCCAAGATCTTCTATCCGGACATAACTTTTTTTTGTTTTTGTTTTTGCGACAAGGTCTCACTCTGTCACGCAGGCTGGAGTGCAATGGCACGACCACTGCTCACTGCAGCCTTGAACTTCCGGGCTCAAATGATCCTTCTACCTCAGCCTCCCAAGTAGCTGGGACTACAGGCATGACCCACCACACCTAGCTAATTTGGGGCTTTTTTTAAATTTTCCTGGAGAAACAAGGTTTCGCCATGTTGCCCAGGCGAACTCCTGGGCTCAAGTGATCCTCCTGACTCAGCCCCATTTGCTGAGATAACAGACGCTACCACAACTGGCTAATTTTAAAATTTCTTCGTAGTTTTTACTTTTTATTTTTTTTGTAGAGACAGGGTCTCACTCTGTGGGCCAGGCTCATCTTGAACTCCTGGGCTCAAGTAATCCTCTCTCTTGCCTTGCCCTCCCAAAGTTCTGGGATTACAGGCATGAGCCACCATACCCGAATAAGCGTTTTAAAATAAAATTTCAGATGTGCTCTTGTACCTCAGAAGTTCATTTTGTGATGGTGATTCTTGGTTTTGGCCTTGCCAAGCGTTTATCCCAAGATCGTCACACCCAGCCAGCATTTGGACAAAATGTATATTTTTGACATCAACTAGTGTTTTAGCATATGGATGTATCACAATTTATTTATACAAATGGAGATGGGTGGCCATTTTTATTACTCTAAACATTGTTGTACACATAGCTTTGTATATTTGCTCAATTATTTCTTTATAATAAAGTTCTAAACATGGATTTGTTACGGACAGAAGACATGCCCATTTTTAGTGTTGGTGCATTTTTGTCAAATTGCCCTTAGAAAATGCTGTACCGATTTATACTTCCACTGGAAGCATCTGACAATAAGCTCTTACCCACACCCTTCCCAGTGAGGGGGACTATCACGTGCATTCATTTTTACCAATATGACAGGGGGAAAAATGGAACATTGCCTTTTCTTCACCACTGAGATTGGCTATCTTTTCACATTTGTATTTCCTTTGTGAATCAGCATTTATACTCTTTGCACAAACTTGTTTCTACATGAAGACATTCATCTTTTAAGTATGGAGTTAAGAACATGGCTCTAATTTTTATATTTACAAGTCCTTTCTCTCTCTCTCTCTCTCTCTTTCTCTCTCTTTCTCACTCTCATACAAACACAGATATACAGGTATCTTAGTGCATAAAATTTGTTTTGTATTTAGGAACTTTTCCCATAGGATAGAATTTCAGGAGTACTGTTAGACTTGGTTCCAAACTACAATATTTTTTAGGTTCTTCATCCATAGGGACAAATTAATAAAGTACATTTGTGATGTTCAATTGTACCTTTTTAACCAAGTCCTTCCAGATCAATATTTTTCTCTATTTAAAAACATGTTAATTGAATTTATAAGCAATGAGCAGTATGTCATTGGTGTGTTAACAACCAATTCACCATTTATTTGATTCAGTTGCCTATTTATGCAATTTAAATGCTGACAATGCTGTCATTAAAATTGACTGACTTACATTGAGGACTTTTTAATAGCTTAGTTTTTATCATAGTTGTATCACTTTGCAGCTGTTACTATGTTCAAGGTTGTTTTAAGTGGAAAATGGGAGCTTTTACTGAATACTCAGATGCCCAGCGCTGTGTGTATTGAAAATAGTAACTCTCTCAATCCATACATCACCACAATGAGTTAGAGATTATCTCCCTTTTTGTGCTAAGGAAAACAAATCCCAGAGAGGTTTAGCAACATGTCTAAAGCCATAAACCTCATAAGTGGTGGAGAATAGATCCTTTTCATTTTACTTTTCAATTATGAATAATCTCAAACATACATCAAAATAAATACTAAAATGAATGACCATATTTTCAACAATCGTTAACATTTTGCTATTGCTTCACTTCCCCGAATATTTTTGCTGAACCATTTCAAATTAAACTGGAGATATCATGACATTTCACCCTGAAATATTATAGCAGATACCTAAAAAAATCTTCCTATATATCTTATTCCATTACTGCACCTAACAAAAACAATTCACTGCTATTATCTAATGTGTAGTCCTGATTCAGATTCTTGGATTGACTCCCAAAGGTCTCTTACAGTTTTGTTTTTTTTTTTCCAAACCAGAATCCAATCAAGAAACATTAATTGCATTTAGTTTTTATGTCTCTAAATTTTTTTTTTTTAGACAGAATCTCGCTCTATTGCCCAGGCTGGAGTACAGTGGCATAATCTCTGTTCACTGCAGCCTCCACCTCCCAGGTTCAGGCAATTCTCCTGCCTCAGTATCCCAGGTAGCTGGGATTACAGGTGTGAATCACCACACCTGGCTAATTTTTGTACTTTTAGTAGAAATGGGTTTCATCATGTTGGCCAGGCTGATCTCTAACTCCTGACCTCAAGTGATCTGCCCACTTCGGCCCCCCAAAGTGCTGGGATTACAGGTGTGAGCCACCATGTTTGGCCTCTAAATCTCTTTTAATCTAACCAATCCCTCTACACATTTGTTTTCATGACACTGACTTTTTGAAAAGACAAGGAGTTCTATAGTGCAGGTGTCCCCAGTCCCAGGACCACCGACAGGTACTGGTCTGTGGCCTGTTAGGAATGGGGCCACATGCAGGAGGTGAGTGGCAGGCAAGCAAGCAAAAAGCTTCTTCATCTGTTCTTACAGCCATTCCCCATTGCTCTTATTACCACCTGAGCTCCACCTCCTGTCAGATCAGCTACAGCATTAGATTCTCACAGAAGCGTGAACACTACTGTGAACTGTGCATGTGAGTGATGTTGGTTAATCACTCCTTACGAGAATCTAAAGCCTGATGATCTGTCACTGTCTCCCATCACCCCCCGATGGGACTGTCTAGTTGCAGGAAAACAAGCTCAGGGCTCCCACGGATTCTAAATTATGGAGAGTTGTATAATTATTTCATTATATATTACAATGTAATCATAGAAATAAAGTGCACAAGAAATGTAATGCACTTGAATCACCCCCGAACCATTCCCCTCCCCGAGTCCATGGAAAAATTGTCTTCCACGAAACCAGTCCCTATTGCTAAAAAGGTTGTGGACCGCTGCTCTAGTGTTCTCATGTTCTGTTCTGTCTGATGTGACTTCTCGGGATTATTTAACTTATTTCTTTAGAGCTTGTAATTTCTATTAAGCAAACTTTAGATCTTAAGGTTCAGGTTAAACATTTTTAGTGAGAATATTTCCCAAGAGTTGCTGTACACTCAGCCAGGAGTGGTGGCTCACACCTATAATACCAGCACTTTGGGAGGCTGAGGTGGGCAGATCACTTGAGGCCAGGAGTTCAAGACCAGCTTGGCCAACATGGCAAAAGCCTGCAGTGAGCTGTGATTGTACCCTGAGCAGCAGAGTGAGATCTTGTCTCAAAAGAAAAGAAAAGAATTATTTCAAACAGATTTTTATGCCTTTAATATCACTGCTATCCCACAATAATAAAGATTTTATCATTCTTTTAGTCTGGGCCTTTAAAAAAATAAACAAATAAATATTTTGACTTTATTTAGCTTCAAAGATTTTCCAGAACATTACATATAGACATAAGCTCTTCCAGAATAATATATTTTTTTTTAAGTCTAGGATTCATTTCTCTTTAAGTAAAAAAAAAATCTCAAGTTAAAATGGGCCAGGTGTGGTGGCTCATGCCTGTAATACCAGTACTTTGGGAGGCTGTGGCAGGAGAACTGCTTGAAGCCATGAGTTCAAGACCAGCCTGGGCAATATAGTGTGGCTCTAGGGTCTCTATTTAAAAAAATTTAATTAGCCAGGTGTGGTGGTGCACACCTATAGTACCAGCTTCTTGGGAGGCTGAGATAGGAAGATCGCTCGAGCTTAGGAATTCGAGGCTGCAGTGAGCTACGATCATACCACTGCACTCCTGCCCGGGTGACAGAGTGAGACCTAGTCTCTAAAAAAAAGAAAAATATTTTTTTTAATCTTGATGAAAAAATTTCTTCTACAATTCATAGCTTCACTAAGATGAATGTGTTATTTTTTCCCTAAGAAAAATAAGGCTGAATATTTCTATGTCTGCAGTAATAACTCCTAAAAGAGTTGGACAGGTTCTCTGAAAGGAGGTGGTTAGACACCCAACAGAGCAAAATCTGATTGCCATAGATAGGATTCCAGTGTCTAGAATCTTTAAAAATGTGATCAAAGCCAGAACCAAGAAAAGCACTCGAATTGTGTTCACTGAGATGCCCTTACCTCTTTAAATTCCCAGGGAAAGGCAGCAGATGAAACAATGTCTACACATAAAAGGGACAAAAGCACATTCTATCAATGGCTACGATTCAAAGATGGTCTGAGGAGTCTGGTTCCTACCAAGACTGCCATCTGCTTGACCTGGTTGCTCCTGGGGCTTTGGGAGGTTCTTCCCCCAGTACCAGTGAAATCATAAGGACAGATAAAGGAAATAGCAGAGGTTTTTGAAAAAAGCACCACGAAAGCACAATCTAAAATAGGAAATATTCCTGATGCCTCACAAAACACTAACCTTATTGGGAGTTGGGGGCTGAATGCAGAACCCATATCCTCAATATGAGTTTGAGCTAGAATATTAACCAGGGGGCTTTTATGAATTATGTCCTAATATCAGGATTCTGTACAACAGTATGAAACATCAAACAAGGAGATATTATAAGCTCATTTTTTCTCTTTAGGAAGTATGAAGAGACAGAAAGCAAAAGATCTATCTGTTCATGATTCTTGTTCTTTTCACCAAGTTGGGTCCAGTTTCTTGATTTCTATGTAAAATACCAAGTTGTAATTACCAACTTTCCGGAGCTCAAAGGAAGATTCAAACTGGTGCCCAGCTGCCAGGAGGAGGACTGCATAATTAATTCCTGACTGTAGTGTTGGCTCAGATTCAAATGCCTTTTTGAACCTATAAAAAAACACAAATGTACAAGTTAACTTTCTCAATCATGAAACCCTGGGTGTATAATAGCTTCTGTTTGTATAACTCCAATGCCTGAGCAAGTTAAAATATTGCACTGGCCTTCACCCCAGAATCTGGTGTGCTATTAGGATTTAACGCTTCAGAAACTGCTTATCTTTGTCCACAGCTCTGTTGCATTCCCCCACTTAGCTCACCCTCAACCTAGTAACCCTAGTATTTTAAAAAAATTCTCTGTTCAACCATCTACCAGAAATATGTGAATGTGAAAATTTAGTTACAAGGGCATTTGTTACAAGATGAAAAATTACTCTAAATATCCAATAATATTATAAAGTGTAATATGAAATAACACATACTCCAAATGTTAGAAAGCTATGTAGTCATTTATGTTGTAGAAGCATGCTAAATGTCCGAAGAAAACTAGCGTTTCAAAGTAAAATGTAGCAGCCTACTTGGAAGCCACCATTTGGGGGGTGTGTGTGTGTGTGTGCAATAAACATTTAAAAATGAGAACCCTGCACATATTTTTAAAAGCAGTTTTTAAAAACTCTTAAAATATACAGAGCATTGAGGAGGTAAAATACTAAAATGATCAATTCCATAAGAAAGATAGAAAATGAAATAACGTCAATTATAAGATAAAATTAAGAAAAGCAGAGATTATGCCTCTGCACACTAATTTTGGCTCAGAGAGTTAAAAAAAGTCTTTTCTGAATATGCACAAAACTGAGTATCAACCTCTGAAAACACTTCAATATTTAAAAGGACTTCAGTGTTTGAATTCTTACTTTATTTTCAAGGTAATACTTCCTAGGATACATTTAAGGGTTTCCTTATGTGCATTATTAAATAGGCAACAATATCCAATATAATTTTACTCAAGGGCATATAAAATGAGAAAAATAAAATAAATGCCCTCGTGACTAAGAGGAACTGCCTGAGCCAATGCATGAAAAACGAAACTTTTATTTTTTAAAAAATCATGCTGAAGAAAGCATAAGAACTAAATATCTAATGAATGACCATTTGACGATACCAAAAAATGGTTATGTGGGAAAAGATACATTACAATTCTAAGATAGAAGCATTCTCACCTAAGTCATAACTGTGTAAATAAAAAACAGGAATAGTAAAACATGGTGAAAGGCACAATAGTGTACATTATAGGCACCATATGTATATATTCTTTGCCTTTATATATACTCAACATTTTCCATAATTTAAAATAAGTTAAACATCAAATGAGAGGAAAAAGTATATTTTT